TTCTCGGCTTTAGATAACTGTGGAAACGCTATTTCCAAAGTTCGTAGTCTTTAAGTTTTTATGGCAGACGTTCAGTCTACAGCTGAGAAGAAAATACGTTGCTTTTGAATATTTTTTCTCTATTTCATCGCCTTTGAAGATGGGTACCCCAATCGTTGATGAAACATTAGACGTAAAAACCTGTAGATTACATCCAACAAATCCGAAGAATAGCTTGACAAATGATAATTTTTTTTGATAATGATATATGGTTGTGTAAACGTTTTTCGTTGACTGATAAAAGTATTGCTATTGGATCAATTCTATTCGTGTACTCGCTTCGGTAGCACATATACTAAAATGGGTATGAAGAAGATTAGCATACACATGAAGTCGTAAAACGTTCCACATTTTCAAACTCTTCAACTTTTGTACCAAGCTTCGATGAGGTTTATATTCCATAGTTGAAGCCTTAACAATCAATGAAAGCTCTCGAAGCATTCAGAACGAAACTTTCTGATAGCTCATATACATCAGTGAATATTGTGAACTATCGCTGCACATGAGAACAAAATACCTCAGTTTGGCATATGCATACTCTACTGACCATCTAGTATACGAACATATTTGTCAAACCACTTCAGAATCCTTTCTGAGAAGAGAATAAAAAATATTACTATTCATAAGGATTATTCAGTATAGATCAGAACCTTGGCTCCTTGTTTCGTCCCGATGCAATTCATAATTCTCCATGTTCAAAAAATCTCAAATGCTTCCCTGTTTGCTGTTCAATTACTTTCATTCAAACAAAGATTCATTCAACAAAGGTTTTGAAAATATACAATTGAGAGNATTTTGTACAGGGTCGTTAGAGGCCATGGAGAAGGACTATTTCCTGGCTACAGGGAAATTCGTTGGTCCTCGAGGAAAGGATCTGTATAAAAACATTGGGATGAATTGGCGCATAATCTGAATGCTCATTATGTAGCAAAGCCTACTGAAAAATGGCAGAAGGTAAACCAAAGTCCTCCTCGCGTATATATAGTTAAATCCCCTGAGATAGTGTCCGCGAGATGTGAAAGCCAACCTAAGAAGGTCAACCCAATACTTTAGTAAATGATACTTCAGTCTTTCACTACTAGATGGCGCCAACGTAGGTATTACTTTAGTCTTTTACTACTAGATGGCGCCACTGTAGATATTACTTTAGTCTTTTATTATAGATGGCGCTACTTCATTCGCGAACGAATTGTTAACTGTCATCTTATACCAATAGATGGCGAAACTATAGATAATAATTAAGTATCTTACTACTAGATGGCGCCACCGTCTCTTTTATGAATATTGGCCAATTCCACAACTGCTACAAGAAGTTATTACATACTTACCAACAATCGACACTTTACATAGAAAAACTCAGTGAAGTGTGGTAACAAAATAGTGAAAGTGACTTTGAAGGCACGTACTCATTTGAGCACGAATAGGTAATAGGTAGTTTGCGTCTACATCTTCTTGACATCTACATCGTCTGCCAGACAAACTCAGGTTGATGGTTTTTATTGATCAAAAAGATTGAAATGTTATTTATTTATTCTCGCACATATTTACAGGAGTTTCAAACTCAGTTACATTGATGAATATTAATTCTTCCATAAAACTCATATAAACTCCCAAAAATATAAGTTTGACACAAGCGTTTTCTTTCACACTTCATATACCACTTACATATTTAATATATTTTCTGAATCGAGCAACATTGGTATATACTCCAGGTTGATGCGACCTCGCACATCCATTACCCCAAGATACGATGCCCATGAGTTTACCATTGATGATGAGTGGTCCTCCAGAATCTCCTTGACAAGCATCTTTTGCGCCCTCGGGATATCCAGCACAAAACATTCTTTCAGTTATAATATCCTTGCCATACTCTTTTCGACACTCTGTCTGGCTGATAACTGGAACCTCTACCACTCTCAACTTCTTCGACAAGTTACCATCTTCAAAAGTTGTACCCCAACCAGTTACCGTTCCAATCTCACCTTCTTGCGGGATGGTGTTATTTGTTGGTAAAGCTACAACCTCAGCATATTCAGAAGTGATGGGCTCAGATAGTTCCAGTAAAGCTATATCATAGTCAAATTTTACACTATTGTATTTTTTATGTTGGTATTTATTTTTTATTCGTACCACTGTACCACCAGTCCCTTGGTAGGAAGAACCAGCTCGGACTGCTAGGAAGATAGGAAATACTCCGTCGGTGCAGTGGGCAGCTGTTAACACCCATGTCTCTCCAATGAGAGCGCCGCCACATGAATGACTTCCTATATATTCTATTGAAACTTGGTAAGGATATATAGATATATCCGTGGTCATTCCTCCAACTATTTTGCCATCATCCCCGGAAATCAGGTTTTCCAAAAAATCATTACCTAGAGACAAAAAAAAATTAAATTCAGTTTTTCGGACTCTCTAATTATCATAGTAGGTACTTTTTGGATTTTTGGAAAAGTAATGAAAAATAAAATTTGAAATTTTCCAACATGTACACATTCATAATATTGTCGATAATCAGAATCTTTCATTTAAGTTGAAAATAAGCTCTTGTTCACTTTTTTCATTTCAAAAATGAAATCCTAACGTATTTTAAGAATGTTGACAACTTATGACAACAATTGGGTAAGGGAACACCCATTTTAATCCTATCAAGTTATTTTCAAACATACCTAGTTATTTTTTAACAAATTTGGAGTGCAGGCCATCAACTTCTTTCAATTTCATATGAAAAGAAAAATTCAATTTTCAAAGATTTGGTGTGAGTAGTGTTTCTTGAGTTCTCTCCTTTCGAAATGATTTAAAAAAATATCAACTGAATGCTGTCATACTATCATTTTGCTATCAGTTAAAGAGTAATCTCGGATAGTAGTAACTGAATTCCGCCCTTACGCATGTTTAAAGGTCAATGTCCAATTTGTGTGAATAGAGAATAGAGGCATGGTACTCTTATTATAACCAACTATCATTTATCAAATATGATTGTACATAAGATTTTTGGTTTTCTAGAAAATTTTTATCTTTATTCAAGATTACCTCCTTAAAGCAAAAATTTATTTTTTTATAGACTAGGTATAAGTGTTGCAAAAAATAAAAAAGGCATTATTTCTACCTTGAAAATGCCTGAAACAATTCAAAACTACATTGAAAAATATTAAATATTAAATTTTATCAGAATTTCTGTCATTTTTTTACTAACCAGTCAGTAGGTATATCAATCTTTTTAATGCTTACAGCTGAGAATGCTATTAGACACGTCGTTTAATACTAATGATATATCAACAATATAATACAATGAATGACACAATGAACAAATATAAACAAAACCTACAATATACAACAGTCCTCCTCTGTCTCTACATTAACAATAAATTCATTTTCTTATTAGTCAATGGGCTATGCTTGAAGACTGCTACACCTACTGTGTAGGTATATAGAGACTGGCTTGAACGTTTGAAGTTCCATTTGCTTTAGATTTAATAAATTCATTGTAGGAACAGAGGAGGACTGTTGTATAATCTGGGTTCCAAGATATCAAAAAACTGTTGAAAAAGCACTTAACTAGTATTTATGTAAAAATTATATTTTCCACAAGTGTAATAGTTATGAGTTGAATCATTTTCAACAAATTTCTCACTATGTGAATGTGAACTAGTAATTCAAGAATAAAAAGTTCATAATCCTACATGAAATGTTCATAGTCCTACAAGAAGTCCATGATGAAACTTTCGTCAAGCACCGAACTGTCCTCTTCTGGGCCGCAAAAACTTTTTGTCAAATTGGAAGCCATCTCAAATGGTGATCACTTATGTGATTCTGGATTATTTTCTCCCAAAGTAAAAAAAGGAACATTCCGGGTAGGTAAGTCAGTAATGGAATGAAGACATCTCAATTGGTATTATTATACACTAAGTGAATTCGCCAGGGTTTGTTGCGAGATAAGTATTGATCTACCTGATACCTCCATATTATCCAACAAGCTCATTTTTTCACTTCTACTCCTATTTTCACTCCGAATTTGAAAAGTAATTGAACTTGTTTTGGGTGTATTCAAATAGAGGGAGTTATATGACAAGTTATCGATTGCTGGTTGCTCGATTGGTATTACTTAAAAATAACAAAGATTTAGTTTAAAACAATGGATATTCATTCGAGAATTAGGTCGAGTGATAGGTATTCCCAAAGATTATTTCTCAAAATATTCCTCAACTGAATGCATCGATATAAGCACAACATATCCTTTCTCATATCATTTTTATTCCCTGAAAGACGAGATATTTTTCCTTTCGAAAGTCTTATTTTTAGAAACTAAAATTGTATGTTCATCAACTTTACTCACCTGATACAAGTCCAACAGCCAAAATCACAAGTAATATGCACATTATTGAAACAATAATGAACTTCACTTATGAAATTAGTTGGCTTATAAATCATCATTAAACAGTCATTTGAGTAGATTTAATTGTTTTTCCACGAAATGAGGCTAAACAACGGCCACTATAATTAAAAATATATAAACGATTGAAGAGGTTGGTAACCTATCAGTCATCGGTTTCCTGTGAAATAACTTTAAACTGACATAAAACTTTCCCTCAAATAATAATAAAAACAATATTTTCTTTTTATATTGGCTGACATCTTGTAAAGGACCTGAGTTTTGGCTATACCCGTTATTTTTAAACAATTTCGAGATAAAATATTTATTGCTAACAGACAATATGTGATTTTCAAAGTAATAGAAATTAAAAAAAAGGTTGTATAGCTGATCATTAATCCTCCAGAGCTTTTGTAGAATTATGTACTGTCAATTTTATATAATAGGTAACTAAAGCAAAATATCAAGTTATATCTCTGCACAGATGTGTGATCAATTCAGTTTGTACTTCTCGCTGTTTCAAAATTCAATTAATGTAATTTTTTGAACAGCTTTAATATTTCCAACCTCCATTGTTCATGATGTAACTCTAAGCGCATAGTACCTATTACTTTCCGTGATTATCTCTGCATAACCTAATACATTTTGAATAGGTAGTATATTTATAATCCTACCTAAATGGTTTTGAATTCTTTCTTGTTGTCAAACTGAAGAGGAGATGATGGAATCCTTTGTACAGAGAAACATGTATGTAAAATGCATTATTTAATAGAAAAATTGTGAACCTTTGACCATGAATCCTATTGAACCCACATTATAAACACACTATCTATTGATAAGCACACTGCATGTATATCTAATGTTTTTTATTTCACTTTAAATTGTTCTTTCATCATTTGATCCATTTCAATCAATTACAGTTATGAAGGTTATTTTTTGCCAACATCAATATTATTTAAATTGATGGATGTAGCCGTTACTACGTGGTAGGAAATCATGATGAAGAAAAGAGAAATGAAACTTTGTATGTTGTTTGCCACTTTTATTTGTAACTAACGTTACTGCAGTTTCGTCCTATAAGGACATTTTCAAACTTATACTTGTATAAGTTAGTTGCGAATAAAAGTGGTAAAAAACATAGAAAGTTTCATTTCCCTTTTCTTCATTAATATGATTCATTCTCTTCGTCAAATCATAGTATACTTTTGTTGATTTTTGAAGCTATGTTTTTCGAGAAATCATCATATTTAAAGGATCTTTATTATATTTTGCAAAGATTTCCCTTTTGAAACCATCAAACTGCTTTCTGTTCAAATTGTTTTGGTGTTCTCTCCATGGTGGTCGAGACCGCTTAACCTGCAATCCCCAGTGACAAGTGAAAATTGGCGACAGGACCAAAAACTCGTAGCCCGCGACGAACATTTCGTAAACCTGTAAATAAATTATGAATCTTTCAGACGATGTAATATATGAGAGATTATTGGTTACCGATACATTTAGGCAAATCATTTTGTTTTCAAAGAATACTTCAGTTTACAAATAGTTTACAGAACTGCAACACGTATGTTACTATGCAACATAGTCTTCATAGGAGTGTTCAAACCTGTCAGTTTGAAAATTATTTGAATATCATTCAAAACCGATACAATATGAGAAACAGATTTGAATATTGTTCCACATAAAATTTTTTGAATCATCTTAGAATTATTTATACTAACCTGACTGTTTCTCGTATATCCATACCCAATAAAACGTTCATCATGTGCCGGTACTGTGTCGGGTGAAATATAAAAAGGTTCATAGAGAAATTCGAAATTTGTCACAGGATGACTTATGTGAATATCAGGTCCCTCGTTTACATTACTCTGCCATCTGAAATGGTGTTAAAAATTAAATCAGGTTTTTTATTACATTTCTTTAATGTTGCTATTAGGGAATGGTTCTGGCTACAAATTGTTTCTCTATTTTGAAGATAGTTTCATGACATGATTGAAGGACTACAATAAATACGAAATTAAATGGTTAAGTAAACTGCTGGATGTAGCCATTACTATGTGATTGGAGATCACTATGAAAAATGATATAATTGATAATATCAGCCCTTATACCACTGTAAGTAGTAAAAGAGATCATTGAATTAATTGAGTATCTGAATTTTGTTTACCTGTGACAATATGGGTATCTATGCTAATTTGAAAACCGGTGAGTAAACTAGATCGATTTGGTCATTTAGCAGGTTATATCCGCTTATGAATTTCCAAGGATTCCAAATAGTTGTGCTACTTCTTGATCAACAACTATCAACAGTCTGACAATTTGTCAATCAAATATTATCCAATACTATGATTAATCTGATTACTCATCTATAACAGTTCAGTATACCAGTTTCGTATAAGTCGAATATGAAAAAAAGGGTTTCAGGATTTCCACAATAGATGTTAATTTTCTTGTGCAGGTTATATTGGCAGATATAAAAATAATTGCGAATTAAGGAAATGATGGTTTTAGTTGATGAAAAAATTGTTTTCAAACAATATCAGAAATATTCCGGTGGTGGTCCCGATTTCAAAACAAATTGTCTCAGGTACGAATAGCAACTCTATGACCAATTGAAAATAGAAATGAATAATAGGTAAATAAACAGAGTATATTAAACAAAAGTTATTTTTTCAAGAGGACATCAGAGTTTGAATATACTTTTCTGAAGATTTTCACCTTCCACAATCTGAATAAAAATTCCAGTGGAGAACTTCATAAAGGTGTAGGAAAGCCATACTTCTCAGTGTACACCAATAAGTTACTTTGTAAATTATTCAATATATTTTTCATAAAGTATATTTACTGTTTATCAGATTGTAGACATTGAAAATCCTCAAAAAGTCGATAGAAAACTGAATACATATTTCATTTTCATAAAATCTATCATAATTGGTCATCAGTTCCAAAAAGATTATCAATATCAGCAATACTTTGAACCATAATATATTTATACAAAAGTTAAAAGTTACAAAGTACAGATTTATGATCATCACGATTACTTTAAAGACGACTAATTTTATTATAATTCTGAATCATTGTCACGATATTGAGTATTTTAAATGAAGGAAATATCCATGACCAAAGAATAATAAATTTCCAAATAGTAACAAAAATATCATTGGCCCACTCACCTTGTGAAATTTGTTGCATATTGATTATAAATAAAAACTTTGTGATGAAACGGCCTTGCTAGACCCTTATCTACTAATCGAATCAAGTCAGTCTTATTGTGGGGAAAGTGAACTCTTGCGTCCAACTCAAATGTAGGTACTACATATGCGCATTGTCCATTACAGTCTGTATTATCTAAAAATACATCCAAACTCTCTGCCATACCCTTACTAGGAATAATATCGACATCTGTCAGGAAGACATATTTGGTCTGGCAATTTTTCCTTGCCAAATTTCTCAGATGATTCTGAGGATATGGTAATTTTGACCTCCATTTGTTTTGACCTCCTCTGTTCAATTCTGTCATCAAGTGTTGCAACACTTCACTAGGATTCTCACATGTGAACTGCTCGAGTTTATCAAGGTCTATATTGAAATTTTTTGGTCGGCGCTCCTCTGTGAGTGCCAAATGAAAACTCACCCTGTCTTTGATCTTGCTGTCACATCTTCTCAAATACGTAATATACAGTAGTAACGAATTCAGTTCTTCTGAACTAGCTGCAAATATGGCCAAAGAAATGGGGCCGTTCCAGTGATTCGAAACTTCTGTAATTGACAGAAGTTTTTCAAGAGAGCTTTGTGTTGCCAAACAAGTTTTATAGACCTCATTCAAAACTCCGTATTTATCACCTACTAATATGTTGTCGAACAATTTGTACTTGTGTCTGTTGTCCCATCTCCCCAAATTGAGATCTAGATTTAACAGATGTTCGTCGAGTTTCTGTTTATCGCATTGCTGATAAACAATTCTTGGTGGTTTCTCGATAAGGTTCTGATGTTTTGGACATTCTTGAGAGTACATCAATTTCACTGTTAGCATTACATTGTAAACTGTTAGAAAAACCAAGGCAGATATACTGATATTCCATAAACGACATGTTCCCTGTAAAAAAGGCAATTTTTTAGTCAAAACTCAATTCATGAAGTTTTGAATAATTTAGAGAATGATATTCAATGAATAGATATATTCACTTTCTTTTGTGAGTACCTTTGTTTATTTAATGGTATTTAAGTAATGTTCAATTGCTTTTTGTTATTTTCTTGTTGATGTTAGTGTATTATTATTATTATTCGTTTACTGTGAAGGAATTTTGATAATTTCAAATGTTATATTTTCCTTGGGAGGAGAAATGATGAGTACACAGTTCAAATGTCATAAACAATTAAACATTGAACAAGATTTGTTGATAAATACTGTGCTGTGTAACTCTATATATATCCGAAATGAATATTTATGGTCTCTTTGTATTATGAGATTAGGGCATTTGATCGGTGGGCTGCGATCTATTGGCTCTCTGTGATAAAAATAATACTTTAAATAGTGAGACCATATTGATCATCAGCTCCAAGTTCGAGTTCTAAACGCCGCCCCGCTCTAACACCACTTTGCCGATATTTGCCGTAAAATTTTTTGAGGGTGGTATGATTTTCTGTTTTCATAGCATATAAAATACAATCATCTGATATTCACCTCAAAAGCATGCTCTTTTTCATAAAGATATCTGCGCAATCTGCAATACAAAATTCAAGTACATACCTGGATCATTTGGTTCGAGTATGTAATTAATATTCTCGGTTCACATTGCTCAGTGCGTTATATTAAAATAACATCCCATTTCACATAATTATGATTTGTGGCGGATTATAAATGTATGTCACTATTCACAAATCCCACGCTCATTTAGAGATAATTTCAATTTAAAACGATGACACGGTTTTACTGATGCTTCAGACATAGACTATTGCTTCTACGCAGACGTCGGTAATGGTATCGATTTTGGCAGAAATCGTATTAAGAGTCGCATTCATATTTATTCCTGGCATTTCTAGATCAAAAAGTGTAAAATTTCTCGGCTTTAGATAACTGTGGAAACGCTATTTCCAAAGTTCGTAGTCTTTAAGTTTTTATGGCAGACGTTCAGTCTACAGCTGAGAAGAAAATTCGTACTGAGTACTTACCTGCTTTTGAATATTTTTTCTCTATTTCATCGCCTTTGAAGATGGGTACCCCAATCGTTGATGAAACATTAGACGTAATAACGCAATTCATAATTCTCCATGTTCAAAAAATCTCAAATGCTTTCCTGTTTGCTGTTCAATTACTTTCATTCAAACAAAGATTCATTCAACAAAGGTTTTGAAAATATACAATTGAGAGCAAACGTGTCCAACTGAGATGGACACAGTTTCTACAAAGAGTGAGTGTCAATTGCTCACAAATATAATTCGGGAATGACCGTGTCATGAAAATAAAAAAATCTTTTCGAAATGAAATATATTAGCAATTATTATAAACCCAAAATTCAGTCTCATAGTTTAGATTCCTCGTGGATAGCGAGAACAAAATCATCACCGTTCGAAGATAATGAAACGGAAGCATATCCAGAACCATCAACGTTGACAGACTTTCCAGTACATGATCCATTTTCGCGGTCGCCAGAAATAACATCACAATAAGTACCCGCTGGAAGACCTGTTTTGATTGTTGTATTGATATCACCGCTAACCGTGAAAGCGACAAATCCTTTGTTTCCACGACTAAACGCTATTTGATTGTCATTATTGTCCCACCAGTCGTTGAGACCTGTTCCTTGACATACGTTTCTGAATTTCACCATATTAGTAATTTGATGCCATCTATGTTCACACACCCAACCATTAGTGCAAGTACCATCTCCGTTGAAACCAGGAGAAATAATGTTTCCATTGGAACTTGGCGGGCCTTGATCATGAGCGTTGAAGTCGAAACTGGACATGATTCTTGTGGTATATAAGGGATGAGCCAACATGTAAGCTATTGCAGCTTTGTAAGGCTTGGGATTTTTATATGTGAGAATCCTGTTGTCGTCTCCCCTCTGGTTGTCATGATTGTCGATGAAAACAACAGCATCCCCGCTTTCGAGAAGTCCCCAGCCTGGGCCCCAGTTCTTCAACCAGTGAAGTGCATTATGTCCTTGAAATGCATTTCCAAGCTCAACTCCAAATTTGAATTCAAGAACAGTTCCAAAACCGATGTATTCCTTTTTGCTGATTGCTTCACCCCCTGAAAAAGACACAAATTTTCTGAATGTGATGTTTCTTTAGTATTTATAATTTCACTTCAAAGTTTAAGAAACTCAACTGGTCAAATAAAAAATAATTATCACAAATAAATCTGATAGATACACTTTCCCACACCCCGACTGACAAGACGTGCGCCAAGAGAGGGCTTTAATTCTGGTGTGGGAAAAGTCTTTTCAGTAAACTTATTTATGTCATTTCACGTCATTTTACATAGTTTAAAAGGTATAAAGTTTTTAAAATTTTTTCAGAGGTTCATATAAGGAAATTTCCAGAAAATTATTTTGAAACTATAAGTTCTTAATCATATGATTTCAACAATTTCGGCAAAATTTTAAATTTGTAATTACCGATCCGTTGAAAGGCTTATAATAATATCGGTTTGGTAATAATGATTTGAAATGTTTAAGAAGTCTGATACCAATTCAAAGTACCTCTCCAGATACAAAAACATTTACATTACAAATTAAAATATTTCTGTCACGAATTTGATATAGTAGGTAGCACAGAAAGTTGAAATAAAATGAATTAAATGAATAAACTCTTTCTTATTTTATTACTATCAACTAGACTCAATTATATGAGGAATTTTCAACTCACCTAAATCGATAACTTCCTGGAAAAAGAAAGGTCTACTTCCTTCTGCAAATCCATGATCAGTATTCAAATTTTTCGCCATTCCATAAATTGCTGCCAAATCCGCTGGCCACATGTGCTTGGCAGCATCAACTCTGAAACCAGCTACTCCCAAATCGATTAGATGATCAATGTAAGCAACAAGTTTTTGACGAACACCGTCCTTGCTCTGAAATAAATATGGGAATCATGAGAAAGTTTTCTTTATTATTATTGGAAATCTGTAATCTTGTACAGAGGTTTGCAAGAATATTGAACAATTTTTTCTGCTAGCAAATTATCTCTGCTCAATTCTGAAGAAAATCACTTGATGTATGTTGAGTTTTGCATAATATTATTTGTTGAATTATTATAGGAAGTTGTTATTGTTTGGATGTCTATAGTCCTTATAGAGTATTTCATTAAGAATCTTCATTTTTCACCATTCATTTTATATTCTGATAGTGTCGAAAAGATTCAGATAATAGAGTTTTCGAAAACATATCGTATTTCCTCCAACCAGAATGTCTAAAGCCAATCAACATTTACATGTGACTCTTACCTGATCCAAGTCTGGAAGGCCAACCAGTTCGCAGTTTCTGACATTCGCCGCGTCATTATAGTTATTGACAGTGCATGTAGGATGAAAATCATCGCTATTATATGGAACGGCGGGAAAATATTTGCTGCCTGGGTCACAAGTACTCCCTGCAGTTCCACTTCCGCCCTGAGCCGCCATGTCGTTCATCAACAAATCCACGTAAATCCTGAAAAAAATAATAATAGAAATCGTTTATAAATTTTCCCTACACCAAATATCGACCTCAAGTACACTATCTATCAAGAAAGCATTATATTAGGTTGTTTCAAAAGTTTTGTCCGTTATACTGTCATGCGTTCTCGTAGCTCCATATCACAACAAATATTCATTTCACTGTGTCGTGGTATATACAGATCGATAAAGAATTTTGTACTGAATGCTATATATTGATGGTGTTAGTTTTTTCAAATTTTATTCGACAGAAATTGTCACCTTTCGAGGCATGTTCTTCTTTGCTTTTGCGCAACCAAAATAATACTTTTTTGGATTGAATCGTCACGTGTAATAGAAAGTGGATCCTTTACGACAACGTGAGACGTTCAGGACAGTGGTTGGACACCGGTGAGCCACCTATTCACTTCCCAAAGGCAAAAACCCACCAAAAAAGACCATGGTTACTGTATGGTGGTTAGCGGCTAGTGTGATTCACTATAACTTTCTGCAACCGAGCCAAACCATCACATCAGATTCCAATTGTAAAGAAATTGACGAAATGTACCAAAAATTGCGTCAGCAGCAGCCGGCATTGGTCAACAGAAGAGGTCCGAGCCTGCTCTACGATAACTCTCGTCCGCACGTTTCACAAATCACCGTCCGAAAATTGAACGAATTGAGCGTCGAAATTCCATCACACACTCCCCAGACCTCCCGTCAACCGACTACCATCTTTTCAAGCACTTCGATAACTTTCTCATCGGTAGAACCTTCGCCAATCAGGATCAGGCAAAACGGTCTTCGTCGACTTCATCGAATCCTGAGCACACAATTTTCATGCTGACGGAATTGATGAGCTTGTATTACGTTGGCAAAAGTGCACTTAATCTAATGGCGCTTATTTCGATCGAATTACTTAAATAAGTATTCACTGAGATGTTGCAGTTTGAAGTAAACTCATAAAAAAGGACAAAACTTCTGAAACAACTTAAACACTGATAGCTGATAGGGGATATAAAGGGAATGTGAGTCGTACCATGTAGTAGTTTCAGATTTTAACGCCCCTCAGAGTTGAAAATTTTTAAAAGGGTACCAAAGTATTCACGAAGGAAACAAGCCGATTCCACCGTCTCACATGTTTTTGGCACATGTTGTTGCCAGTTTGAATTTCTATCGTTTATCACTTAATAAAATTGCTGAGCTTGGAAAATATTTTGCATACGCGATAATGTATGAAGGGTTATTTTAGACCTATGAAAAAATACCTGCTCATTCGACTACAGACTGCAGAAATTCCTACTAAATTTATATCTCGCTCGATGTTGTCTCAACTGAGTTATTTTGCGGATTCAAAGACTGAAGATAAATATATACACTTGGGAACATTCAAACTATAGAAATTACTTGACATTTTCTTCACAATAAATTGTCGAAAAGGCTAAGTATAAAAAAATAACTAGAAGTAGAATATAAGTATATGTACATTTCAAAAATGGTTGAACATGATTTGTTAGTTGAGATCGGAACAGAATGTAACTATCTGGCAATTCGGCTTTCGCGGACTTTAAGTTTTTATTTTTCTAATTTTAGGATACCTACTACTAATCTGAAAAGATAATTACTTTCCACATATTTCTCAAATATACAGTATGACACTCTTTTCTATTCGACATACTCGATAATTGTCAAATTTTTGTTGCTACTTTTGGTTTCGTTTTGTTGGTTGATTTCATGTAGGTAAGTATAGGTACGTTCGATATCGATGTTCAAAATCGTAACAGTTTTTACAATTCCCAAATCTGACTTACTTCATATACCTGACATGAGACACTTACCTGACACCAACAGCATTACATCTTCTAATCATGTCTGCAAGTTCCCCTTCGTTTCCGGATCTGGTCGTCAGTATGTAACTGACGGGTTGATACCTTTCCCACCATGGTCGGTCTCCGATAACTGCATTCTCGCTAGGAGGTGAGATCTAAAAACAATAGAATTTTCTCTGAAATACTAGAACGTTTTTACTGCTGTCCTATCATGTAATCTATTTATTTGCTCATTTCAAGAATACAAATCAAACTAACTGGTAACAAACGAAATAAGGGTGTATGATATCGCTAGAGAACAGTCGATCGATCATTTTACGTATTCATCGATGTAATTCGGGTTTATTCGTTTATTATTGCTATAATTTATGAGTGAAAAAGTTAAATGAAGTCAAGATAATATATTTTTCTTACTGTTAGATAATCAATATGCGTTTTTAAATATCCAATAAGACAAACAAGAATCTATTATTTCAATTTCAATATTATTTACATAAACATATTCCTTACGCAAACACCAAGTAGTTTATCAAAACAGAAATATTATTTTCAGATGTGTGTTCAAGTACACCGCATCTCACCTGTACACCGGCAAAACCTTTGGGTCCTAAGAAATTCTCACATTCGTTAGCAATATCAGCCCATTTCCATTCAAACAAGTGTACTATGGCACTTCTTCCATTGGCAAAATTGTTATTTTTCTGTGCATATATCAGTTCAGATGCACAGAGAATCGTTGTGAAAATAAATAATATCTTCATTTTGACTGAAAATTCTTCAAAGAATTAGTACATATCGACTGAAAAACACTGAATTTATAGTTTTCCATGCCTATAAGTGGGGAAGATAAACTGATAAAATTGGAAACAAGGGTCAGCACTTCAGATGCAACGTGTCATCAGAATAATATTGAAAATGTTCAATATTGTACAGTAGAATAAAGTAGAATAAAAATTATGAAAATTTGGAAGTAAGCGAATAAATAAATTAGGACATTTCAACTGAAACTTCTTTCGATTTTACCTGAAGTATATTTTTTTCTAAACATTATCCAAGCAGATCTAAAATAAACTGAAAATGCGCTCATTTACTCTAAACGAATCAATACCACCGAGTAACTAATGTATAACTGGAAATAGTGAGGTGTCCTGTAGTGATTCACTTATATAGATGTGTGTGATTCGCAATTTCCCAATTGTGACATACATCAAACTTCACTCGACCCTTGAAAAAAATAAACAGTGCCTCCTGAACCAGAGAGAATATGAAAATAAATGTTGAACCCCTTTAGGAAACTAGTATATTTTGAACCATCCGAAGTTTCTTTATGAGCGACATTCATAAATGGATATGTTATCACAAATTTCAATTCACTTTTACAATTTTGAATGATTAATTGAATCAGTATCTACTTGCATTTGCTGATATCATAACTGCAGAAAGACGAAAACAATATCTTGTGTACAATTTAGGATTTGGTTCTTTCACGACATCAGCAATTTCCTAGGAACCTTGTACATATATTAATTGCCACAGTTAGGAGACGACGACAACCTATGAAAAACTTCCTAATGATTTCCAAAACATCCACATCTAGAATGTTGATCACTGATGCAAATATAACGTTCTTCTTGGTTTTCGTATAAATAAGTCTATCAATTTACTGAATTGCTATCATCTACATCTGACACTTCCAACTTGTGGAGTTCATCTTATTGATATGCACTGTACATACCGTTTATTACTACGATCTAAAATTATCTATCATCTGCATCTTCATCATCATACAAAAAAATGTATGACAAAAAATTAATATATTATGCACATAATTTTTTTTCGCATACAAACTTGAAGAAAAATATATCCAAAACAACTACTTTCAAACATATGAACATTGAGTTGCGCGGAAATTACTTTGCTCGAAAGTCCGAAGTACGCCAAGAGTTTTAAAGGTTTCCATGTAACTGAAATATTATATCAACACTCTTTCATTATTATATTCAGTTCTGTAGCGATCCTTTCAATTATATTTGCTTCAATTTCATTATGATCGATTCTATAAGTGCCTACTTATATGCTGAACTATCTTGTCATAATATTCTGCCCACCTTTATCTGAATTTCTCTTTCGTTATACAATTTTGGCATGTGTCAAATTTTGATATGAATCTAGGAAATATCTCATTGCATTTTTGATATATTTCAATGTTCCACTTCTCTCATCGCTTCTGTATGTTCAGAACTTAGAATCTCATTATTGATCAAAAATATTGTATTTCCAGTCCGAATTTCATTTCAGGTTTTCAATAGCATTATCAAACTTCAAAGAAAAATTTACATGCTTATCACAATTAGCATGGTAGGTGAACATAATAAATCACTTGATATTTGATATCTGAAGAGTTTACAGCTTCATTCGACTATTTGCTTATCTGTTTGGCAAACTTGTTGAAAATGAAACAAACATCCACGATATGCCAGAAAGAGTACGTTGTACCACTTCATAGATAACAGTTGCGAATTGAGGCACGGGCGAAAGATTAGAGAAGATCACTACCCTTTGATCGGACTGTGAAGTATTTGTTTTCAGGAGTTGCTACGTGAAATGTGTATCAAAACTAATACTTTTATCAACTCAATCCTCGAATATCAAAAATAAACGGGGCTCCCCAAAACGATAAATTGCAAAGTCAAGCTTCGACATCGCAAGGCACAACGTTGAAAACCAGAGCCCAAACACAAAACGCATTTATGATGACAGCAGCGAGAAAGTTTTTTGAATAGAAGCGTTTGTATTGAAATTTCCGAAGATTTTGAATTGAATAGGATATATATCCGGTATCACGAAAAGTCATACGATAAATTGCAAAGTCAAGCTTCGACATCGCAAGGCACAACGTTGAAAACCAGAGCCCAAACACAAAACGCATTTATGATGACAGCAGCGAGATAAGTTTTTTGAATAGAAGCGTGCATTTAGGTGTTTGTATTGAAATTTCCGAAGATTTTGAATTGAATAGGATATATATCCGGTATCACGAAAAGTCAAACCTAGTAGATTAATACCTTGATAAGTTTCGGGATTTCTCGAAATTATAAGTTGGGTTGCTTTTCCAATTTTGATGAATTTCTTTAATCTCTAGTTGACATTTGGCAAGCACAACGACAAGCATAATAAATATGATCGAAAACTACTTTTTCAGGAAAACGAGAATTCAATAGTTACATCTTGTGCTGCCATCTATGTGGAACATAATGAAGTATTACAATTCAACAGATAAATATATGCAACTAAAAAAGCACATGAGAGAAAAGGTTGTTTGTATAAGTACAGTATGATTTCATTCAAAATTGGTATCTAGGGGTCTTTGTGGACCGACATTATGAAAGGGGATATTTTTGATGTTTTCTAATGATTGATATTTTGACATAATAATGTCAAACCTCAATCGTTGATATAAATATTCATGATTTCTAATCAAAAATTCTTCGTATCGGACCTCACAAACCGTACCGCTTGTTCATCAAATCTGAGAATAAATCACAAATTTCTTCATCTGATTATATGACGCATATATCGAGTAGAAAGTAGAGTACTATTTCACAGTAAATCCACAGTTGGTGGATGAATGATATTTTTACTACGATTGAATTGTTCCTGATATATATTTTCAAATTAAAATTATTTAGCATCTCACCTGTACACCGGCAAAACCTTTGGGTCCTAAGAAATTCTCACATTCGTTGGCAATATCAGCCCATTTCCATTCAAACAAGTGTACTATGGCACTTCTTCCATTGGCAAAATTGTTATTTTTCTGTGCATATATCAGTTCAGATGCTCATATCCAAGATGCGCATAGAATATCCCTGATGTGATCACTTGGACCCCTTCTCCATGTAAGAAATTTTGATAAAAATTCTCGTTCTGCGGCAATCGTGATGAAGAAACAATAAAGAGATCCATCAAACTCAGCATTTATTCACATAGGTGCTGAGTCTAAGTACAACTCAAGTGACGCAGCTTGATAATATCAAGTTAGCACTTGAGTTTTTAACGTTGTTTAGGTTTTGATATTGGGTGAATAGGTTCATGGGTCCATAAATTCAAGAACAATATACGCACGACAGATACGATTCTTACACCACATATCAACATATGTAACAAAGTTGGATCAATATCATTTCTTGCGTTGAGATTTTTTGACATAACAAAAACACAGATTAAATATCGTGACAAAAGCAAAAACACCATTTTGCAACACATCTTTAGTACGAAAATAAATGTCATGTGGCAAGTGTGGCTATCCTGATATCCAGTTATCAAAAAATGGCACGTCAACAACAGGACGTAGATGAACTTTTCGAAGTAAAAAATTTCTTTTATATTGGGAATTATCAACAATGTATAAACGAGGCTCAGAAACTAAGAAAGGTATCGTATGACAATATATTCAAGAACATGCTACTTTTTTTTTTAATTTTAGCCATCAACTGCAGAAGTTGCCATTCAGAGAGATATATTCACATACAGGTCTTACATGGCCCAAAATAAATTTCTAGTTGCACTAGAAGAAATTCACGGAGCTTCTCCTCTGGAAATTCAACCACTGAAACTTTTAGCAGAGTACCTATCAGGCAAATCTAATAAAGATGCAGTTGTAGCCCAGATTGATCAGGAAATCTCGGCAAACGCCAATAGTGAAACTCTCATTCTGGTAGCAGCCACGATTTACGTTAACGAAAATAATCTGGAATCTGCATATAGAACATTGCATGCATCAGACAACCTCGAGTCACTAGCATTTATTATTGATATATTATTGAAACTAGATCGTGTTGATTTGGCAAGGAAAAAGTTAAAGGAAATGCAAGATAAAGATGATGATGCTACTTTGACGCAGCTGGCTCAAGCATGGATCAATGTTGCTTCAGTAAGTATTTTTCTTAATTCTGATTTAAATATTTAATAATGCATCGTTAGTCTTCTTACTGTTTTTTGGGTATGCTCCCAAATATGTGAAATGCATAGCATAACACTATTGTAATTTGAGTGTGTTCAATAGTTTTTTAGAAACGGAATATGAAATAATAGAACAGTGAATTTTTCTCTGTTTAGGGAGGTGACAAACTACAAGATGCTTACTATATTTATCAGGAGCTTATTGATAAATATGGATCAACACCACTATTACTCAATGGTCAGGCAGTTACTTTTATTGGTCAGGCTAAATATGAGGAAGCAGAAGCGGCTTTGCAGGAGGCTCTAGATAAAGATGCTAACTATCCTGACACTTTAGTGAATATGATTGTTCTTCAGAGGCATATGGGAAAAACACCCGAGGTGTGTATAAAAACAATATTAAAATATAATTTCTCTTTCAACAAAGTTCAGATATGCTTATACATTTCTGTACTAACTATAACCTTCAAATAATTTATGTCTAATTCTGAAATTTCATAAATTAGTTGGGTTAATATGTAGTTGTTAGTTATCATGGTACATATTTTTTTGGCAAGAAAAACATCACAAATAAAAAAAAAGGTGATTTTACAATACAGTGAAAATAAAATTGTCTCATAAAATTAAAATCAAATTTTATAAAAATGGGAATTTGTGCCCCGTGTACCTTTATGACTTAGAAATTGGTCTATTTATTTTATACATTTCATAAACTTTCATATTTTGATAAATTGATGGATGTAGCCGTTTTTACGTGGTAGGAAATCATATTGAAGAAAAGATAATTGAATTTTTTTTACCACTTTCATTTGTAACTAACACTGCAGTTTCGTCCTATAAGGACAACTTAAACTCATACATATTTAATGTGTAAGTTTGAAAATGTCCAGTATAGGACAAAACTGCAGTAACGATAGTTACCAATAAAAGTGGTAAGAAACATAGAAAGTTTCAATTCTTTTTTCTCATTTCATATTCTGCCAATACTAAACTCAACACTTTTTTGCTGCACTTTGTGATGCATTGAATTTTACTCTTTTGGCGTCACTCATAGTTTGTACTTTCTCAAGCACAGAACCATAGATAAAGTGTCTTCTAGTCAGAATATATAAGTCTGGGTTTTGTGGTGATAGTTTAACTTTTTATAACTCTATGGGTTATATAATTGTTCGTTATTTCTTTTCATCATATTTGAATCTTTTTACAGATTGCCTCGTAAGGACATACGTCGTTGACGTTTGTGTTACGTCTTGTGAATGTCTTTCTCAAAGCTCTTCATTACTTTAGTACAGTTGGCATATTTTTAAAGTAAAAATATAAATTACTAGATGTTTCCCGCTCTTATATCAACGTACAGCCGAAGCTACTGAACCTAGAATCTTGAAATATGCAGGTAAGTTCTTTGCATAGCGTAAATAAGCATCAAGAAAGGGAATCAGGAATTTCCAACCCCAAGTGGGAAAAAATTGGTTCCATGGTCATGAAACTTAAATGTGACAAACCAAATTCTACGCGGGCGAAGCCGCGGGCAACAACTAGTTGCAAATATTTTCTTGAGCTATTTCAATAAATTAAACCCAATGGCATAATACTATAGTTTTCACAAAATAATTCACATTTATTAAAACAAATTTGGTTTGGTTGGATAGTAGTTGCTTATTTCCAATTCTTGGATTTGTGATTTTCACTTTCGGACATATTGCCCGACTCGTGTTAGGAATTACACGTTAAAGATAAGACCTCGTTAATGCCTGACTCGCACAAGTGTTGACTTCTGAGAGTTGTCATTTGTGAAGGGATGACATCTGGCTAACGAAAAAGCATCCAAAATATTCAAAAAATTACACATTTAAATGTAGAAGAGTGTATAAGAAAATTTGCAAAAGATAAGTGAAATTGATTATATTGTTGTGAATTATACCCTGTTTGAGAAAATTGCTATGGGCTTCCAGAGACTTCCATTAGTATATATAAACACTTCCAACAGGAGATGGTGCAAGTCTAATTGAAAGTGTGTTAACAAGACATCCGAGTATTAGTCTGGAAGTTCAGTTAAAGAATTATATTAGACAGTGTAGTAGTGAAATGAAGTCAAGTCTAATTGTGTAGTCAATTATTGTCAAATCTACGGGGAAAACGTTGCAATATCAAGCATTATTATGTGTCATTTTCCATTTCGGAACTCTTCTAACATAAATTTAATAATACTGGTATATTTGAAAATGAGGAAAATTAACAAAAAATAAATACATATACAGGTACATATAAATCACTTCATAATGTTGAAATTTTTCCTTCTATTTGATTTCTTCTCTTTGGATGAAAGATACTCGTTCCTCAAGAAGCTGGATTTCAGGTCTAAAATAAGTTTGAGCTTCTTGACTATATGCTTTGTGGTACTGTGATCACTCTCAAAATCATAATGTTTGAAGTTAGATGAATTTTGTATTGAAGGAGAGTTACTCGAAGCTAGAAAAAAAAAACATATTTTACAAAGGCAGCACTGAAAAATGGGGTATTCAAAAAACACACTTTATTGTGAGATTTCCACTTGAAAGTTTACAAAACCGCGACACGTGTTTCACTATACAACAGCATCTTCGGGTGTCACAATACAGAATTGTAAAGTTTCAAGTACTCTAACATTTTTTGAATATGTTTTGATGGATTTTCATCAGATACCGGTCAGTTTTATTATATTTTTGAAAAATAAGTAGCCAACTTATTATTTTTTTTATGGCAGCAGGTCAAACAAATTTGAAACACAGTTATACATCATACGGGTAACATTCAGTTCAATATAATTTAATTGAAAAAAAAAAACAAACTTCCCAGTTCATTTGTCTGCTTACCGCTACTTGAACTTTCGCGTTGTCCTGTAGGATATCCGCTGTTAGTGGTACTGTACACAATTCTGAAATATGACTTATCAGCTTTAATATCAGTAACTTCACAACTGGCAATGCTGTCTATCGAATGGCTGATTGCTTTAAGCTTGAAGGGTAACAATTTTGCACCTTTCTGTGGGACTGGATCAATTTCTATTCTTTCACCACTTACTCCAATATTAACCTCAACTCTGGGTTTCACTTTATTAATCATAACTGCTTCAAACGAACGATATAAAGGTGCTTCCATCAGTTTGTTGTGTTCTTCAACCTATATGAAAAAGCAATTGCTATTTAAAAATTGTAAAAACTCAAAAAAAACAGTAAAAAGTCTTATACAAGAGGTATGGCAATTTTTTCAAATGTACACCAATTTAATTTGAAATGTATGATTATTGCTTTGTCAGATTTGTTACCCTGCAGAGAGTGGTAAGTTTAGAGTGAGGTATGGCCGCGACAGCAAACGGAGTAAACCAGTGAAATGTTTGAATAGTGGTATTCAAGTAATAAGCACTAATGTTTTCGAACCAAGAATAAACTGGATATAAATAATGATGGCAAATGCAAGATGAATACTGCATGTTCAGACAAACTATTCCTATAATTGTTAAAATGTTGAATCTAAAATATAACATTATGGTTTTTATTGAGAAAATCAATGATACCACAAATCCAAACTAGATAAAATAATGATTTCCCATCATTTCAACACTGAATACAGCTGAAAATTGTATCATACTTCAGGGGCATGTATTACAGCCCCTGTGAAATTTAAAATTTCCCATTATTTCCTGATCAAACCACGTATTTCAATTTCAACTCACTGCTTGCATATCATTTTCCATCTGCTTAGTCTCTTCGACCTTAGCCTTTTCCGAGATTAGTCGAGTTCTTCCAAGATTTTCATTGGAAGAGTTCTGGCTTTCTTCTGGAAAACTTACGGATTTGGTAATATCACTGTGTTCAACAAGTCCTAAGCATGTAAAGCCAAATTTTGAAATTGGCTCCTTAGGGTCCAGACAAGGAAAATCTCTATCTACTTCACCATCTTCCTCTGTAATGTATAATCCATAACGCGCAGCAGCCTTAAGATTTGAAATTCCATGATTATGACTAAAAACAAAAATCTATTTCTTTCAGTTATACAGCATCATAAAATTGTTGAATATATGTTTAAAGAAAGCGTTATAATACCGCTCAATAAGAGGTGATCAAAAGTCCCTGTTATAGTCTCACAAGTTGACAAAACATGAGTTCCTATTTACAAATGACTGGAAGCGTATGGAGTTTCAAGAACGACATTAATTTCAGACAGAAAGATTTTATACAATAACGTAATACCTACTTTCCATAACACTAATAAGCTTACAAATGATACTTTCATTATATTATGTGATTTGAATTCAATTGTCTATAGAAACATGTATACATGATTACATTTATAACTACAAAATATTGCAATCATCATTTTTACTTTGATATTGTTCGATATTATATGAGATGATTATATATTTTATGACCGGTAAAGGCGGTTCCTTACGCGTTCTTTTATAATCATAATTTGGTAGTCGGAACACTTTATGTTTCATCAAATGCAAATGTATATCAGAAAAATTAGTCATCATATCTCTTTTTTGTGAGTTATGATCAAGAAAGTAAGGTCTCAATCTGGCTACTACTCAGGTCTCGTTACTAGTCTCCGCTAGGGGATTACCAAGTGAGGATTCAGGGACCACAGGCTCTGGTTTTGTATTTATGTCTCTGTATGTGTGAAAGGACAGACCAGTAGTGTGAGCAGATAATTACTGAAGTCATATCCCTGGGAACAGGGACCCGCCTATTGGCAGTAATTTGTTTCATCTTTGATCAACAAACCAAAGAAGCTTATATTATTGCTGAAACCTATCTTATTTTCCCAGGTTTCGGAATGAAATCAGTCTCCATGTATTCGGTATGAATCCCAAAGACAAATTTCCTCTGAGTATTACATATAATTTTATACTGGATAAATGCCACCTGATCCTGTCGACCTATATGGTTGAAATGAGTTTGCAGTCCATTTATCTCTCTAGTGTAATTTTTGCCAACAGCCAATTCTCTCTAGAGTCTGGGCCTTTTCGACCTCCTTGCTTTGTCTTCTCTGTGAGCCTCTTTCAGATTTCCTCGAGACCTGGTTGTATTCAGTTGAGAACCTTTTGTATTGGTCTTATACACTTATATAATGATGATTTAAAGTTCTACCTGTATTTCAGCAAGGTGAGTCCAATGAGTTCCAGAACTTTGGCAGAGGCAATACAGCAAATATGTATGGGGTAGTTTCGCTGTTGAGGAGGCAACATTGTCAAAAAGATCTTATACTTCTTTGTTGGAATATTAACTTGTCCACTTCCATCAAACTTAGCAAATTCCATGTAGGGATTTTTTGGGACTTCAGAATGACTATTCAATAAAGTTGTCAACATTGAACCTTGTTTTTTTGATTCAGTCGATTGTGAAATGTCTTTTTTCACAAACATATCATCGTTATTAACATTTTCACTTTTTTCCCATTTAATGTGTCTGATTTTCGATGCCTTTTTCCTCGCAAGTTCTATTTTCTCTATGTGTGAAACAGTATTGGACCTATCCCGGATATTGAAGTCCATTTCCATTTGCATTTCATAGGATTCAAAATCATCTTCCTCGTCTTCACTTTCGTCTGGCTCTGGGTAGGGTTCTGCACATTTCAGATGTTGTTTCACATCCTTATTTTCTCCTACCATAACTAATTCACACATACCTATGTATCAATATTAAAAAATAATTCATAGAGTTATATCCATAAAATGAATGTTGTTTCTTATAATGGGCAACACATTGGGGGGTGAACAAAGATTTTTACCAAATTTGGAAAAATGATTTTGAGTCTCTAAATAGACACATATTCTTCAACTATATATCGAGAATTTTAGACTCATTTAGGGCTTTTTAGGTTTTTTTAGTCAGTGAATTCTGCTAGTTTTATCTTTAAGCTGAAAGAACCAAATCGAATTCCCTCTTTTTAGAAATTTTGATCTTAGAACAATTTCAGGCTCCCTATTGCTCTTGGATTGAAGTGTTTGGGTGAATACTTCACTACATGTTAGAAGGGAAAAATATATCCTCTAAAAAATCATTTCTTATAGGACATAGAATAAGTACTATATGGTAAGCTATGCCAAATACAGAAAAAAATAAAGTTTCATAGAAATATACAATAATATTGAAACAATATCAATTAATTTATAACTTGCCTGTGTCATCCGTAGATATGAATGAATTTCTAATATGAGATAAGAGCCAATATTTATTATCATACAAAGCCATTTCAGAAATAAACGAGGTCAATTCTATTTTACATTTGTGATTTGAAAATATTTCTCCATATTCAAAATTAGCATATGACAATAACAAACCATCTAACATCAACAAACCATGAGTGGCATAGACATTAAACTATTGGACCGGCCCTATCGTCCCATTGGCCTATCACTACTTGATACCTGCGGACTACATTAGAGAAAGATAGATCAAGATAGATGGGATAGTATATTGAAAGGGGTACATTTTTTTGAAAAGATTTATATAGGAAACTTCCGAAGAAAGCAATCAAGTTCAAAATGAACCTTTTGGAAAGATGTGTAAATCATGCATAGAAATTTCTTTCAGATACAAACTGGAACTACACATAAATAACTTTTTTCTACTCAGTTTGTACTTCAAATATGCGTTATGGAATTTAAAATGATATCATTAACAGGGCCGTTACACAACGTAATATTTCAAAGAACATTGATATAAAATTCTACTTTCAAAGAAATTTGTCATCCTAAAGGTGTATCTATTGAAGTTTCAAACACTTGTCTTCAACTGAATTTTATCACAAAAAATATTTAAAGCTGTAGCAAATACTCAAACACATTATCAATGTATAAGAAAACCATTTTTATTATTCTTCAACTGTAAATATCGTACCTACTAGATTTTTATTTATGTATGGCTTTATAATAAATAATAATCTAGTAGGTGGTAGAAAAACTGGCTTCATTTCCGTAATCATTAATTAATAATCAATCAAATTTCCTGTAGGAACTATTTGAACAGAATACGTTTTCACCTGACATGATTTATTTTAGGAATATATAATATCCTTCCGATTATCAACTAAATCAACCGCCACTGTCTTATGGTCCAACTTACTTCAAAAGTAAACAAACTCTTCATAACCTTTCATTACCCGCCACCCACGTCGCTAATAAGTTGTACAGAAATGGATAGTACGATACCCGTTTTAAAACACATGTATTGTATTGCTATAGGCACCGTAACCGTACAGGCATGGCAACTTTGTCTTATTACTCTGAGCACAGCATATATAAGGTGAAAAAATAAGCAACAAATTAAGTGATTAAAAAGCGAACAAGTTGCAACACCAGCATTATTCCTTTGTTTTGTCTTCAAATATACTGTTTTTATTAACCATATTGGAATTTGTATATAGGTACCACCAGACAAGAAGTTACCTGAGATAAGCAGAAACCCATATTCCTCCAATGACGTCACGTATTCGTTCAGATGAGTTCTTAAATTCAACAGAAAAAATCAAATATAATCAATAGAAATGCGCTAACGTTTCGAATAGACCAATATACGAGTCAATCGGAGCTATCGGTGGATCCATCGATGAAATTAAGAACACACACTTTTTATTCGATTAATAAGTCCACTGGAGGTTAATTGAGAACACACCTTTTATTCGACTAATAAGTAAACGAGGTTACTGAACGCAAGCACTGCTTGCGTCCAACAGCCTCTGGTGGTTAAAGCGTAGCGCTTTCAACTTTTTCACCATATTTTTTATATAGATTTGTAATTTCAATATGTTTTTTTTTAATAATTTGCCAGTTTCCATATTTTACTGCAAATGGATTTATACAGACAAAATTAACTGTCAGCGTAATCATTCAGTGACGCAAAAGCGCCTCATATTCTTCAGCCAGGGAATTCATCGTCTACCACACCGTCTACCGTCAACCACATTCAGCAGCAGCGGTGAAGCAGTTTCAACGCTTCAACTTCTAGAAGCTGTTGGATGCAAGCATCCACTCGATAAATTTTGAAAATGGATCGAAAATATGTTTGTTTTGCATTATTGCAATAATTTACTAATGGATATTAGGCATACTTTTTCCACTGTTAAAGAAAATTGGAGCTACGGACAAACACGGTTTATATAACCAGTAGACTCCTAACATATGTTAATTATTGTTTGTTTCATATTGTTACATATATAACATGCTTATCATCTTGGGTTCCTATAACAAATCAGCGTGTGTGTCAGATAGTTTTCAGATGTTTTTGTTTTCTGTATGTCTCATTAATGACTTATTGATGACATGAGATAGTGTTTATCTGTTTGAACTTCAAGACAATTTGAATTGTATAAGAAAAATGGAAGACTCATTTTGGTGGGGAACAAAAGTAGAACATCTATTATTTAAAGGATTTTCCTCTCAATCTGTTGGTGGACTCATAGGATTGTGTTTGTTTGTTGGCGCAATGGCTTTTTTCTTCGAATACCTGCGGTTTATACAAACAAAACAAAAACAAAGAGAGTTGATAATAAGGGTGAAGCAGTTGAAGTTATTGTGCCCTACAGATAGTGCAGCGTTACTAGCTAGGACCATTACAAATCCTCAAAACCCACTGAATATAACTCTATTTGATAGGTATGATAAATTTATATTTACTTATTGAGTTGTCAAACTCCTCATGTTGGGTGAATTCATACAAACATTTGAGTCTGGAGTCTCGAAGTGAATTCATGCACCAGTTTTCTTTAGGTTGAAAGTCTTATAAGTAATGAGTCGTAAGATGTTGCATCATTGATTTTGATTGGGAATGCAAGTTTTCTAAATCTTTGACGTAAAGAAAACTTGCTAACTTCAACTACTTGTAGGACAACTTGAGTTGGATTCGTGCACCAGTCTTGAGTTGTATGTCACAAGATTTAGGTATTGAGAATTTATATTTGTCATATTTAACTACTAAAAAATTTACAACTTGTGCACATGCATATGAGTTAGTATTTTTCGAAATTGTTTATTGAAATTGTAGTGGCATATGAATGTTCACACTGAAAATTATTGATAAACTGATTGCGATTCAGGACTGGGTGCTTGAAAGTTTTAACTACTAAAAAATTTACAACTTGTGCACATGCATATGAGTTAGTATTTTTCGAAATTGTTTATTGAAATTGTAGTGGTATATGAATGTTCACACTGAAAATTATTGATAAACTGATTGCGATTCAGGACTGGGTGCTTGAAAGTAACCCTAGGACTTATCTATAAAGAACATTCGTTTTCACGAAGCTGATTAAAATTTAATTCGCCAACTCTGACCAATTGTAATTGAAAATTTACGACATGAAACTTTAAACTTACAACTTAAAACTGGAACATGAGGCCACCTTTAAATTATAAATAATGAATATACAAGATTTTTTTCATTTTTTTACTTTTCATTATATATTCTGTTTCACAAAGAAGTTATAAAAAGGACAGTGCAAACTCTACATTTTTTCTGGATTATGAGTTACGTGGTAGTCTAGAAGAGAAACAGACCAACAAGATCATTTCAAAAAGAAGAGTCAGTATAAAAACTTGCAAAAATGAATACAGGCTCACTGGAAAGTTGAAAATTCAAATCTTCTAACGAAGTCGTTCTGTTAGGCACTTTTTGGTATGTCCTTCAGCTCTCTCAGCATTTCGGTTTTCATCTCCTCGATCGTCACAAAACGTTCTTTCATAGGTCTTTTCAATCTTGGGAACAGAAAAAATCACAGGGGTTCAAATCTGGTGAGTACGGTGGCTGAGGCATGATAACAGTGTTGTTTTTGAACAAAAAATTACAAACAAGCAATGACGAGTGAGCAGGTGCATTATCCTGATGCAGAAGCCTTGAATTGTTTTCCCACAATACCGGACGTTTTCTTTGTATTGCTTCTCTAACAGACACCTGGCAGAAAAACAACAATTAACCCAGCTAATGCCGTGCAGAAAGCTGAAGTAAAACCATCAGGCACCTGTATATAACGTCATCCATTTGGAAGATCCGTTGCAAGCAACTTCCTGTGTATGAATAGCTGAAACTAATTTCATTTAGTCGCGACGACCATCGATAGACCGATTTTGGAGTACTAGCTCCTCGTCAGTACTGTGAAGATCACTGCAGACAGAGTGAACCGTCTGAATATCCCAAACAAACAAAATTAATTCCAACTAGTCATAAGCTAGTCATATCTGCAATAGGATTTACCACTGCGCCATCTGCAAACTCCGGAAATAACTCCACAAACACATACTCAGAATCAGAATAATAAACATATTTCGGAGAAGTGCCTATGACATGCCCAAGTTCAGGTGAAAACTTCTCACCTCTGCCTCTCATGTGGACTTACGACTTTGTAGGTATGTGTAGCAGACATCCGACGAAAACAACAACTAATGCTTTTATTTCCAGGGCACTCCTTTTTGGGACTGAGATCTCTCTCTGGTTGCTTCTTCAGAACTTAGGATATTTTATAATGTTAGCAGTAATGGTATACAATGCTTGGTTCCTTGTTTCTGCAGTGATTGGGGGAGCATTGGGATATTTTATTTTTGGACATATGTTCATGAAAATCAATTTGCAGAACTGTCAGATCATGAGAAGTGCATACTGTACTCAGATATGTGGAGAGGCAGGTAAAAACATTTTGGTTTTATTTTATCGTATCATTTAACCAATGCTGTGAATTTTTAGCTGTTAATACAGCTGGTAGTCCTCAAACAGTCCAAAAATACGACCTAGTTTGATTCCTGTTTTGTCCTTTCCTGTTTCTGGTAAGTATATCCTTTCCTATCCCTTTAATTGAAGTACATATATCCTAAAATATTTAAAAAATATGTAGCAAATCATATATGTTTGCTAAAATTGTCATCCCCCAAAGATACGGAATAGGAAGCATTTCATATTATTTAGAAGTCTGCAAAGTACAGAAAAAATGTGGATATGAATCTGAATTGTCCAACTGAAAGTTTATCGGTGAAACTTCCGTCTGTCTTAGGATTTTGGTGAAATAATGATGATGACTATTTAATTTCAAATTGAATTCTGAACATACACACAATAGAAAATCAACCAGAATAAATGTTGGAAATGCATTATGTCTGTGTTTGAACCACTTTGACATCAACAACTACTCTACAAGGTAAAATATTGACGCAAAAGATGTGACATTCCAGAATTTCCTACGATTTTTTCATCAGAGGAATTGATGAGAGAGACCCTGGCAATGATAGTTGAAATATCTTAGAAAAATTAACTATAAACTACCTATATTTTCTGATTTCGTGGCGCACATATAAATGAACTATCTTTTGCGATAGCAGCTAAAAGGCATTTTTCATAGTGTGTTATCCAGTGTGTTATCCTAAAGTTTTGAAAGAAGACAAAATTGAAACCGCCATAATAGCTGCGAAAATGAGATTTGCACCTCAATTTCGAGGTTAGAATTGTAGGCAGAAATATGGGAAGTAGACTGGCAGAAACAATCAAAATTAAACTAGAGATATCCATCAACAGAATGTATTTTTGAACAGATACACGATGTGTTCATGGATGGATGATAGCAGATGGAACATCTTTCAAACAATTCGATATACAATATACAAAGTAATATTTCTGAGTATAAAAAATGGTCTTTTAGTATTTGTTATTCTGGTTATTGCACTAATACACATTTTCGTTGTTTTGCATTAGTGTGTCCATCTTTTATTTCAATGTTTCATTTCATATGTATGGGAATATTATTATTATTAGAATTTTATAAAAATTGGTAGAGTAATAAATCATGTCTATAAGTAATAAAATTATAATATTTTATACCGAACTCATTGAAAATGAACATTTTCACTAGAACATAGGATTGGAATGATGAATACCATCAGCATTTATAATAATTATTGTTATCTGAATTTTTGCGCAGATGTTGGGTCTTACAATAGAAATGGAGAATCTACCCCAGTGGCTCATGATACACCCTCGTCATCACACAATAAACTTGAATGTGACGAATATGTTCAAGAAGGATCTGTGAAAACTAAGGTGCAATGCCATTAGGTTAATCGTGACAACTTTTTTTATTGTAATATAGGTAGCTTTTGGTGATGGAAAGCCAGTTTTTATTATGCAAGTTTTTTCAAACTAGTCTCTGGAATCCTTATTGTACCTCTCAAATATGTTTCTTTGATATGTTAAATTAGAAATTAACTTGATAGAAATGAAACGAATGGTAATATCCTTTGTTTATTGTTAAATCTATGTTTATAAGAATATATTCAAATGATTTTAATTCATCCTAGTCACAATAGTCAATATTGTACTGAGAGAAATTATTATTATTTATCTAGCAGTTCGTCAGCTCGATAAACTATACAGTTTGTGAAATATTGTAGGTAGAATTAATCTCATTTCAACTTTACATATAAGTATATATTAATTGACCAATATTTGTTAAGGACTCACTTGAAAATAATATTCTTCGTAATCGTAAGCGATACATAATATTTTGATACCAGGCGGACTTTGAAATGTATGCATCCTAGAATATTATCATTTTTTTTTTGAAACTCTAGAATTGCAAGTCTAGTTG